GTTTGTCTTTCACGTTTATTATATATATATATATATATATATGGTATGAATCATGACAGTCGATATTCTGGTTCTAGGATCAAAACAAGATTCATATTTATATAGTTTTTATATACAGGCGAATATAATGAAGGGAAAATATAAATAAGTCGCACAAGACCACAGTGCGCCACCACTTTCTGTACGTAATCAAGATTGTAAATATTTGGTACGTGACTCTTACTTGAAATTATCTCTCAAACCCTAAAATTGATGTGAAATAACCTTACTTTGATAAATTGATGGTATTTATTTCAACATTCTAGGTTTCAACAGTATAATAATAGTGGGTGTTTCGCGAAAATGGGCTTCTGTGGCGATCACCCGGAAAGTTCCTCCTTTTTTAGAATTCTGAGTTGAGACCCATGTATTTATACTCAGTCCGGTTATATTGTTTTGTTGATTCAAGACCGCAAGAACTAATTCACTCGTTTTTCCCCCAATTCACTCTTTGACAAAGTGAAACTAGATGTTTTCGTTTCCTAAACCCTTTTCAAGTTTTCAATAACAATAAAAAGTAATTAGATATGATGAATCGTGTTAAAACGAAACAATACTGAAGCATCCTATCACAGCCGATATATCAGTGATACGTCCACAAGGGGTGTGAACTCATATGTCCGGAAAGAGTTAATACTTTTTCAAGGTTCTATTATTTCTACCGTCATTCTTTTGGTAGTTCTTTTACATTGATTTAGGCAACATGTGATTCTTTCTGTCAGCCTGGTGACACTTTTGCATTGATAATTCAGATTGTAATTTGAAATATCATTTTTAAAATTTCAGGATTCGAACATATTAGTTGCTGCAAACAGCCAGGGTTTAGTAAAGGTAAGTGTCCACTTGAACTTGCTTTTGTGGGGCCCGCATGTGGGAGATCTACAGTAAGACTGGAGACAAAAAAAGAAAGGAACAAAGTTATATTGGAAGACACTCAGTACCTCTACCTGCTTCTTAACCCTTTGGGCCCTTGTCCTCTTTGCCTACGGAGTCTGTGCTCCTGAGATCTTTGGAATAACAGCTAGATTTGCACCCACTCACACACCCCATGCTGCGGCTTGCGTTTGGTGTGCAGAAGGGTAGAGTGCACTTGGGTCCATTGTGTTGAGCGTTTGTTTCGACGAGCAATCGAGTGAACTCTTGTTTGTAGTATGTGTTGCATTGCCTTAATATCTTGTCACGCTTGCTTCCAGATATGGTCTAGTATGCAATACCACATTTCAGGGTTCCTCCTTATTTTTTAAAATATGAATCAGTTGGCAATACTTGACTAAGAATATATTTCAATTGGAATACTAAATATTGAAGATGTGTTTAAATTAGGTATTAAATTGTCCAGTGGCTTTTATGTTTCTTTTTTTTTTTTTCAGTTGTTGGAGTTAGTGTGAGCAGATCAAATTCCATTCAAAGATCAATCCTAATCACATGACCTTCATCACCAACACCTCAAGAACCACAACCCATGAGTCATTGGCATCTCTACTTCCTCACTCTGAGGCTGTGTGTGCGACGCGGCCTTGCGGAGACCTTGCTCATTCCATCTTTAGTTCCGAGCAAAATAAAAAGTACTTTATGTCGTGAAGTGGTAAAATCAGGACTAGGTCTGTGTGTTTATGGGGTTGTTCATGTATGTGTGAGAGAGAGAGAGATTGTCAAGATATGCAAATGCCGGATTATATGTAGTAAACTTCTGAGTGAAAAATGACTGCCTGGAAATTGTACTGTTATGTGTGAGTATTTTGCAATAATATTTTAATATTGAAGTTGGTGATTGGAATAAAGTACATGATACTTTGATATCAATTGAAAAACATGATTTCGTTCATAATGCATGATGCTGTGTTTAATAGAATCATTCAAACAAATTGTGGAGATAAAGTTTTTGGCATCTCTTAAAAGCCACATGATAGTGTTGTTTCTGGGTGGCTAGATCAGATCTATAAAGTGTCAGCCATGCTTGGATGAGTTGATTTCATACCTCAGTTGACTTGATTTTAGCAGATTCTGCATGGTTTAATAATCCAGATGACAGTACAGGTAATTGGGTCCCTAGTGGGCCTGATGTAATTGGACAATGTGGACTTGTCTCTGTGTAAAGGCAAGTTGTGCAGAGAGTCAACTTTGTTGATTGATATCATGTGAGAAGAATTTTCATGGGAGTGCATGATCAGAATTCTTCTTTGAAGTTGTTTTAGATGTGACCGAAACAAGTTTTTGTTGTTCTTTTGTTTTGTTTTTTTGTTTTTTAAGTAAGAGTTTTATGGCATTTGCAATGCAATTAGGTCATCTAAGTGCTGAAGATTAGAGGTGTTATAAGAGAGTAAAAAGCTAAAAAAAAATAAGGAGGCGAGATAAGGACGATAGATGTTGGATAGGAAAGAAGGAGCTGAGCACCTGTCAACCACCTACTAACATGTTAAATGTTATATATATACATTGATAAAATTCCTTTATCTTGAGTGTCTTGGTTTAAGTTTGAAACTGGAGATAAAGAACTGATGCACATCCTGTTCAATTACCAGTTTGATGTAGATCAGGGTCGGAAGAATTTCTTGCTCTTGCTGACCTGACCTACTCAGGTTGATTTATTCTCATATCGTCAACGGTTTTAAAGTTTGTGTCGTTGACCCATTCTCTGCATGGAAGTCACAGCACTTGGCTCATATCATGAAAAGGCTACAACAACTATCTTTTTTTGTTTTTTTGAGGCAGTCTTATTTTTTCTCTGTCCTCTTGAATTATCTAGAGATTTAGTTGCGTTGCTTGTTCACTGTGCTTTTTGCTTACAAAGGGAAAGGGGCGTTACTCTGCATGAAAGAAAAAATTCAGTCTTGCTTATCATACAGGCTTTTAGTTCTGTCAAAATTGTATATGCGGTGAATCTATTGAGGTTACTTACTAGTTTTTCAAGGTTCTATCATCTTTACCGTCAATCTTTTGGTAATTCTGTAACATTAATTTTAAACATGTTCTTTCGTGGGGCAAGTCAATCAGTCTACTGAGTTATTTCTCAGCTTTCCGGGGGTCAGTTGATCAATTATCAGTCTGTTTATTTAGGGATTGTGCTTTCTACTGTTTCTTGTTTTAGACTATACTGGTACTAGTGGTACATATTTACTTTCTATCTTTTCTCTCTCTATCAATCTGTTTTTGTTGGCTGTATGCCTGTCAAGCTCACTAGCTGACTCTCACAAGCTTTCCAGGGGAAGGCTGGTCTCTGTGAATGAAATGACAATGATTGTTCTTTTTTGTTCCCATGTTAATTAAATGGTTGAAAATATTTGGTTTTTGTGTATATATATTTGTGGTGATTGACTAATGGCAGACGAGAGGGAGATAGCATCTGGTCTGTGTTCTCCTTTTTTTACTTTTTACTTGTTTTTGTAAGTTGTTTTGATTTCTAATGATGAAGACTGTGACTAAAGTCTGGTGTTGCTTTCTAGATTTTCAGATGGTGCAGATGATTCAACTTGCCTGAGGCTTGTTGAGCAAGAAATAATTGTGGCCTGACTATTTAGGTACACACTAAGTGTGTGTTGGACTGTGTGCTTGGCATGTGACAGCTTTTGTGTGTGTGTTGTGTGTGAGTGAGTGAGTGAGAGACAGAGAAGCAGAGGAGTTTTGGTTGTGCTATGTGAGATTCAAATACAAGAGGAGGGGAGGGAGTTGTCAGAAAAAGCTCAGGAATTTATTTTGTCACAGCGTGGTAGCTCCCAAAAGGCCTGGGTGATGAGAGATGAGTAAGGGAAAAACTGACAGATAGCTAGCTCATCATAGGAAAGATACGTCATTGAAAAAGTAATTTGTAGTTTTATGACTTCTACTGACATACATTTGAAAATTGTTTTCATTCAGTTTTACATCATCAAGAGGACGCTACATTTGTCATTTGTATGTTCTGTGTGGCTGTATAGGTGCCGGGGTATGTAATTGACTCCAAGCATCTTGCTGGCATTATAAATTGGCCACACTTGTGCATTGGAGTATGAATTTGATCCGTCTAGCTGGCATTTGAGATTCAGTTCTCGGTGTTAGTTTTCATACTGTAAAAAAATGAAGCATTCACTTACCTTGTAAGTTGGAGCATGCATCATGCACATAGGATCAAAATGTTCTCACTGCAGCAGAACCCAACTACTACTACCTTTGAAGTCATTGTTCATTCCAAATCTCATGGTTGTTCATTGCAGGGTTCTACCTTTTCTTTTAACCCAAGGAGTCTTTGGATTCTATGTCTTTAGGTCGTTATGCCTTCCATCATAATATCAGTTTTTATATTTCTTTTCTAATTTCCTTGACACAAAAGCTTAATCAAAAGGTCCCTTACCTTCTATTCATTCCTATTTTCAACATTGATCTTTCTCTACCTCTATCCCCAGACTCACATGTTCTGGCGCTCATATGACCTTATGCAGCTGCGAGTGCCCTAAAACCTGTACTAAAAAGACTCGCATGTTCAAAAATCTCTCTGTTAGTACTCTTATGTCAGACGAAGAATAAAATTTCTAAATTGGTGGGGGGCGTATAATTTTGTTCTCTCATTGATGATAATGATAGGATAGATCTAGGTCTCTTTTTTTAACTGAACAAAAACAATACTTTATGATGAGGGATGTAATATGAAACCGCTAAAAAAAATAGCCAGCTACTCAGGATGTGTAGTAACACTAGTTGTAAATTAATAGAGCTTGCAGAAAAGCTCCACTTCTTGTGTTTACCTCGCTATTTTGTCCTTATGAAAAAGTTCCAAGTAAAAGAAAGAATTTGCTACACTACCATTGATTCTTACAATTTGTCGTGATGAGTTCAGGCACTCAGGTACCGCAGTGTGTGGTAATAGTAATTGTTGTCATGAATCATCATAATGAATGAGTTTACAGTAATAATAGAGTAGCAAGGTGGTAGAATACATCTTCCTCATTGACTCTGTGTTGTTGTCCCTCATCTGAAAGTTGCTCTGCTGTTCATCTTGGGCTTGTGTGGGCTGCATTTTTGTATGTATGTGTATGTTTGCTTGTGTGTGTGATGACTGAACAGATGCCGAGCGTGAATGGCAAGTTGTGAGTGAAATGATGACTTGTGTCAATATGTTAAATATTATGCCAGTTGGCTGGACAATAAACCATAAATTCCCATCCTAAATTTTTGTTTATTTTTCTATTTGTTTTTTTTTCCAGTTTTTTGTTGTTGTTGTGTAAAGCAATTGTGTGCAAAATTGGTTTTGTATGTACCATGATCTCTTTGAATCGCTTAAAATCCCCGTTCAGTGGACTCCACTTGTGTTGAACTCTCTTGAGTTGGGATCTTTTTTCTAGAGTCCCAGCACCTCCAGATCATTGAAAAACCTTAAAACCTTAGTCACTGCAGAGAGCCTTGAGCCTTGAGCGACAAAATGCGCCTTGGTGGTTGCCTTGCACACAGCACAACCACACACCTCCCCCCTCTCCCAAACAACTCTTCTCTTTCGCAGACTAGATCATTCTCCCTCATCTCCAGACTCCCCGAGTCACTCCATCTGATTACACATACCTTGTCAGACATCTTTCACATCATCAGCTCAGACAACTGTCTCAAATATTCACGTCTTTCTGACATACATGGTGTTGACTGATAAGTACCCAACTTAGGAAAGCAATCATCTTAAAAAGATTATTTAAAACTAAAGTGGTTGATTCTGTCTCTTCACTTCAGTTATCCAATGTGATTTGGAAGTTATTTTAGCCCACTTCTTTTACTTGAAAAGTATTTATATTATCGCTCTTCAAGAAAATGAGTAGACCCAACGTTACTAACAATAATTTATCAACCACCCTGCATAGCATGGCAAAACGGAATTACATTTACTATTTTTTTTTAAATATGACAGTGGCGATATGTGCATCAAATCATGGTATAAACCGACATTTGCCCTGCAATTAAACAGCGAGATAATTTCAGAGACCTCATTTTTGCCAACAACAGAGTTTGATTTAGAGCCACCTGTGAAGATTATCTCCGCACCGGGGTATTTTTCTAAAAGTTTGTTGTATTCTGCTTTAAAAGTTTAGGTGATTGTGCTTGCTTTGTTGTGTGGTCAGCTGCAAGTCTATTTTTGCCTTGGTGAGGTGCCACGGAGGGGGCTCGGGGAAACGAAATTGTTCAATGTCTTGTTTGGGAAAGTGTATGCTTTTGAGGTCCTCATGTTACTTTTATATTAAACTCATGTGCTATTTCATCACTTAACACTCAGATTGACACACACATACATTAGATATATCCACAATTGTCCACATTTCATAAGAAACATAACATCACACATTTGGTCCTGGTCAACATACAAAACAAATCTGTTGTCAGCTTTCAAGGGTTTTTTTAAATTTCAACATTCAATGTAACAATGATAAAATTTCAACTTTCATGGTATGTTTCATGAAATCACACTCTCTCATTCAGATGAAGTAGGAATATATATACATGAATATGTACAGCTCAATGTCCAACAGACATACTGACTGCTAAGAGTAAGAGAATGAGTCCCGTCATACACCATTTTGAAAAGTGACTTATGACGTAGTCTTACACTGAGCAGTCGAAATCGAAACTGGTTCATTATCCAAACATTGTTCGGGCAACAGATTTTGCCATAAAAGGACCCCTTCAATCATACTTCTAGAAGTATTTTACACAACCAACATCCACACGGTCCAGCTGACTCTTTTAAACTGAGTCAAAATATTCCACACACAAATTTGTCAACCAAGCATTTCACCATTCACATCATCCACACTGAAGCACATAATAAGATATCCGCACAGAGACCCCACAATCCCTTGTCGCCACTGCTAGGAGGATGCCTTCTGTCTCTTCCAGAATCGTTTGACGTCATCGTGGCCTGACTTTGTGACGATCAGCACTCGCTTCTCTGGCATCTCCCACACCAGCACATTCATGTCCTGATCCAGACAAAAATAATACATCAAGCAGATGAACCTTTTATGGTATTGACAGTACTTTAAAAATCTGATGTCTCTAGTCTTAGGAGAAAAATAAATGTACAGTAGTCTCCGCCTAAATGCACGGTGCTCGGGAGGGCTCCTTAGCGTGTGTTTATACGGAGCGTGCATTTACATGAACCTTTGCAAAGGGAGGAAGGGA